ACAACCATGAACCTTTTGGAAACACACAGTTTTTTCTCTTGCTTTCATCGCTTCTCTGCGTTTTTTTTTTTCTTCCCCCCCTCCTCCCTTCTTGTGTCTGTTTCTTCTCTCCCTTAACTCCTGCACAGCTTAAGACAGAGCTGTTGGGCTCAAAGTTTAACTCCATTCTAGAGGAGAGCACGGTAAGGGTTCCTTAGTCTCGGCGAACCGCACACACTTTGCATATCCGCTTCTGTACTCCTGTACGCCGTTTCCATTCTTTTTTTTTTTTTTTTCTTTTCCTACGCCAAAGTGTCGTCTGCATGGCTACCTCATCGCTAACGTCCATACTTGCCCACCTAACATGTCTCAAGTCTCCCAACAGTAACCACTAACTTATTTGTGTATGTTGCACACTACTCTGGGGGGGGGGGGGGAACGCTCTCGCCGCTCGGGGGGGGGGGGGGGAACGCTCTCTGGGGAATATTCAGCAGTCATTTGGTAGTTTTCCATTGAAACGTGTGTGTAATTTAATTTTTTTTTCTTTTTTTTTTAAATGTGATATTTGTTCTTGGAAAATTCAACTTTTTTTTCTTGCAAAACAACAGGTTTGTTTCTTTCCACATTCAGATTTGGTTGCATATTCGTCTCATCCAACAAAATGATGCATTCGCAAATTTTAGAGTTAGTTGTCATTTTGCAAGCAAAAAGTTGTCAAAAATCCAGTCAAACCATATCAACGTTAACACCATTCCTTCTTATATTTTTTTTGGGTGCTCCAGGGAGAAGACGGGGATTTCCAACCTGCGGGCTCTTTGGCAGGCATGGAGAGCCGAGAGTTGAACTACGCCGCTCTGGAGCTGGGTGGGCCCAGGGAGGAGGGGGGCCGGGGGAGGGGGGACGACGGCACCAGCAGTTACGCGGAAATCAAAGCCAAATGAAGCGCGATCCTTCCCTGATGCCTCGGCCACGCGAGACGCAGTTGCAAAACCTCCCTCCCCTCGTCCCCGCAACGACTTGGATTTTCCATGGGTCCGAATTTCATGCTTAAGTGCTAACTTTTTCCTCCATGTCCCACGACTCACTGGAAGAATTTATTGGCATTTATAGCTATAGTCTTTTTTTTCTTCTTTCTTTCTCACCCATGTTGTTGTTTCTCCTAGGGGTGTAACGGTATGCCAAAAATCGCGGTCAAAGGGGTCCTCGGCTTGGAGGTTGCGCCCGCCAAGATGGCTGCCCGTTTACTGTTTTTCATTCGTTTCATACAAATATCCACTTTATTGTTATTATTACCTTACTATTGCGTTAGCATAGGTTAGTGATCGACTCTAGAGGCTACTCGTTGGCATACACATTTGTCTTACGTTGCCGCCGTAAGAGCAGAACGCGCTTATCGAAACTAAGGACCCCTGATGACTGTTCGGTTCAGGCTACAGGAAAGGTATAAAACGCCACAGATTTCTTCTTTTTATTTCCGACGGCTATTAAAGTGTATGCGCTCATTTTCTGTGAGCCTATTCTGTTAGCTTTAGCAATTAGCATAGCTTCTCTGTTTGCTCCGATTCTCCCTTGCTCGTTCTGCCGTGTGATTAGCTTTTCGTCAGCGTCTTTTAGCTATGATACTTGGAAGAGGTTGATTGGCTATTATTGAGGCGGGGATTCTTAGCTTAGTCATCTTAGCATTTAGCGTTCCTTTGGTGGATCCTGAGCTACTTGGAAACCAGAGAGGCTGGGTGACTTCAGTTTGCCGCACCGCCTAAAAGTATATCGTTAGCCGTGACGGCCGCTAGCCAGAGGCGGAGCTTCACCGCGTCGGATTACTGAGTTGATGTGTGGCTCAAGTATGAGACAGTTACGCTTAGAAAATGTCATCTTTTTTTTTTTTAAAGTATGAGACAGTTACGCTCAGAAAATGTCTTTTTTTTTTTCTTGGAAAATGAAGTACTTTTGTTCTTAAAATATTCCGATTTCATACTCATGGTATTCCGATTTTTAAAAAATCTAAATTAGAAGTCAGTGACAGTCAGAATTGTCAACACCACAAATATTTCGTTAAATATAATCATTTTAGCTAATACCACAATTACAGTATTTCTTGGGAAATATCATCGTTTTTCTCACAAAACTATAGTTTTTTTCTTCAAATATTCAAATTCGATTCTCGTAGCGTGAAACCGCTTTTCATGCAACAGAAATTGCGTAGAACTCGTACTTGAGAGAATGAAGTCATCATTGAACACGATGAAAAGCGCAGGGTTTTTTTTCCCAAGTTGCCATTTTAAGAGAAAGTTATCAATCGTAAGAAACTATGATTTTTTTTTTTTTTTTTTTTTATCGTGTGGCTATCGCACGAACCAATTTGTCCCCTACCTAATGTGGTCCGTACTGGAAAAAGGCCCTTACCATTACACCCCGCGTGTCTATCTTGGCGTGCCGCATGAGTCAATGTTTATTTGTGTCACTGTGTCTGCTGCCTGTCAAAGCATCAGGGAAAGGGTAAATTCAGAACATTTTTTTTTTTTGGGTGGTGGGGGGGGAATGAAAAGCGCAGGGTTTTTTTCCCAAGTCGCCATTTTAAGAGAAAGTTATCAAATCGTAAGAAACTATGATTTTTTTTTTTTATCGAGGACGACGTGTGGCTATCGCACGAACCAATTTGTCCCCTACCTAATGTGGTCCGTACTGGACCATTACCATTACACCCCTCGTGTCTATCGTTGGCGCGCCGCATGAGTCAATGTTTATTTGTGTCACTGTGTCTGCTGCCTGTCAAAGCATCAGGGAAAGGGTAAATTCAGAACAAAAAACGCAACAAAGCACACATTTATAGTGTTTTCTCATGTTGACAATGTGTGTGTGCCTGTGTATGTGCTCCAACTGTGCTGAAAGACAATGTCTTCTTTTGGGCAATTTTGGAGGTCATTTGTGTGGATGTTCTCACAGTGTTGCATCAGATGTTGACGTTTGTGTAGTCAGAGATCTTGGAAATAATACACTATATCGATGCTAAGCTAATAGTCTAATTCGATAACCATGTTGTCAATAAGTAACATATTAAGGCATATGTATTTTGATAAAAAGCGGGATGCCAGTACGAACAATACCACGTTTCAAAAATTGCACCAGACGTTCAACTTGACAGTTAATCGACCTTGCTTTGGATAATTTCAAACATACTACATGTTGTGTATTTATGATCAGTCATCCATTAAAGGGATATCCCAGTCAATTGGTAGTCGTCTTCCATTGAAACACAAGTAAATCAATATATATATATTTTGTTGCCTAGTGCAGTGACGGAATAAAATAAGTAAAACCGGGATGTCACGATTTCATATTTTTAGAATCAATTATTCTGTCAACTTTTCATTGAACAGCTCTGATCGCAAACTGCAATTGGAGACTCCTGAGCGCCATCAACTTCCGCTGACGCAGTCACCCACCACCATAGGTTGAAGATGACCTGCTTTATTGTATTTTTTTAAATACATTTTGTGAAAAGTGAGACTGATAGGATGATTAGAGTGCAGTGTGCTTTCAACCAAAAAGTATATTACTAAAAGGCACAGAGATACACAAATGTTTTTTGGGTTTTTTTTCCCCTCTCCACCCCTCACAATCGACTTGGGACCCTCCGCCAGCTACCCGCCGATTGCGATCGACTAGTAGGCGCTCCCGCTTAACACTATGTGCTAATTTCCACCCACTATCAGTCCCAGACCTGGATAGAAACGATTGGGTTGCTTCCAGAAGGGTATCTAATTTAAAAACTGTGCCAAATATATCACCTCTGTGCGGCAACCTAACCTTAAGTATCATTCTCTGTGACTCACAAGGGCGAGCCTCGAGCCAATTGACTTTGCCTGGCTGCAGTATCAACTTTCTGTCACAAGGGGGTGCTAATAAACTGAAAAACGTCATGAGTAGTTCGGTGCAGGAGAATGGACGTTTCTGATGACTGTACCTGAAATGTCTGTGCGGATGCCCATGCTTGACGAAGACTTGGGAACAAAAAAATAATCGACCATATATTACTGCAAGACTTATTCGACTTGGTTCACTTTTTTCCCAGCTTTACTAAGAAACACAGTTGTGTCTTGACATAAGTGTATTAGATCCTTTTCGACACTCAAATCTTAAAACATCAGGATCTCAAATCACCTTGAACTGGTTGCCAGCTAAGCACAGGGCACACATAGATGAACAACCATGTGAGGCCAACATGGTAAACAGTTGTCCGACGCGCCGCCCCAAATTAAAACAAAAAATTAAAATATCTCAAAAACTGATGTCCAAGAAAAAAGTTTAGAACAGCATCATAAATACGTTTAGGAACACACATAATACCATCTCTGAATAAAATTTGCTGTTGAACATTGAATTAGTTCTTTTTGTTTGTCCAAAATGGCCTAGTTCCGCATTTGGTCGTGACGAAATAGTTTTTCAAAAATGCAGAAGTGATCGCCATTGAAAATGCGGAGCTGTTAAAATAGCAGAAATATGGGGAAAAAAGCAATTAAATAGATGGCTCATTCAAAAAAAAACCTTTTAAGTAGTAGTATTTTTATTTTCAAAAATACTATGTTTTTATTTTTGCCACTGGTGGAAAAAAGACTGGGTGATTAAAAACTGTTTTCTGATTTATTAATTATTTTTTCATGACATTAAGAGAGCTCCAAGTATAATACAAGCAGGAGCAAACCGATCATTAGTATCGTGTCCACACTTCCTAAAAACTTTTGCTGTTGCACAATGAGGGAAGAAAAATCGAAAGTTGGGAGAGGAACAATCACCACAAGAAGACAACAGCTCGACACACATACTGAGAGGTATGTTCAACGCCGTTTTAAAGATATCTTTTCAGATTTATTAAGTGACTTCCAACGAGAGTCAACATGCTTCTGTGTTATTCTGTCTGCAACATGGTAGCAAGAACACCTATTTGGGTTTGTTTGGAACCTTTTTATTTTTATTGGTCTTACGAAAATAGAAAGTGTGAGATTAGCTATTATCCCATATGAACGTACGTGTGTGTGTGTGTGTGTGTGTGTGTGTGTGTGTGTGTGTGTGTGTGTGTGTGTGTGTGTGAGAGACGTGTCCCATTAAATAGCAGAACTTCATGTTGGTTTGCACAGGTGGCCCAAAAGTCTCCCTTTAGGATGTTCTTTCTCGCCGGGGCTGCTTTTCTCTTCCATGTGTGCGTCGACACAGGTATGAAAACAATCAAGTCACTTCAGGGGATGTTAGCCTGTTTAACTGATATGGTAATACGGTATACCGCAAAAAGTTGAAGCTCATACAGCAGGGGCACTAGTAAGCGTGAACAAGCGAGTGGCAGACTAGGATGTGACACTCCTGTCCACTGCAGTGACTAATGCACTAGTTCAAGAAAAGGCAGCTGTTCAGAGGCAACTTTCTTCTACAGCAGAGTTGCCCAACCTTTTTTGACCAAAGATCTACTTTTTGATCAACCAACCTCCCGCGATCGACCCGTTACCGCGCACGCACTTAGACACGCATGCTCTGATAAGCTGCAGCCATGACAGCCCTTAAAATGAACGAAAAATAGAGACAAAAGTTTGTGAAAAGCAAATCACTGCCTACCTGAGTAGAGAACTGAGGCGGAAGCAAGGGAGGCACATGTGCAGCGAGGGAACGATCGTAGCTCACGTGTACCGTTTTAAAATCCTTCTCCCGGCACTCCTGATTCACATTCTTTGCCCGTGCCTTCGGTGACTTGTACATGAAACAAACTCTGAATGAGAATAATAATCACACAAAAAAATATATATATAGCGCAACAGCTCTGAACGCAAGCTGAAAATCCAGACCGCTGACCGCTAACTTCCTGTGATGTCGGTCACGTGCCACTGTCGGTTTAAGGCGAGGGGTGTCAAGCTCATTTTTGTCACAGGCCACATTGTAGTTACTGTTTCCCTTGAAGGGCCGTTCTGAATTTTGGGAAACCATATAAATGTTTAATCACCTCCACATATTACATACACAGCACACAACAAATTGATGGATAACTAATTTTAAAATCAGAAGTCAAGAATAATGACTGTTATTGTGAATTACATATGACAATTTGAAATTTTGGTTCAGCATCATCGAACTTGACATGCTTGATTTGCTTTCGCGGGCCACATAAAATGATGTGGCGGGCCAGATCTGGCTCCCGGGCCTTGACTTTGACACCTGTGGTTCAAGGTGACCTGCTTTTTTTTTTTTTTTTTTTAACTTTTTCAATATTTTTTGCGAAAGTGAGACTGATAGGATACCAAGAGTGCACCATACATTAACACAAAAATATATCATATTGATAACAAGCACACAGACACAGAAATGTTTTGGCTTTTTTCTCCCCTCCACGTCGCTCGCAATTGACTTTAGGACCAACTCCAGGTCGATCGCGATCAATGTATTAGGCACCCATGTTCTACAGTATGTGTCTGACTCTTAAAGGCAAAGTTTGACATCAGTTGCCACAGTAGTCTGCTCTTCAAAAGCCATTTCCGTCATGAGTCTTAATGTCAACTGTGACCGATCCACCGAAACCACTCCGATTGACAGCTACTCAAACGCCTTTATATAATATTATCTAAAATCTCAACTCCAATTCCATTGAAGTTGGGACGTTGTGTAAAAAATCTCAATTAAAAACAGAACATAACGATTTGCAAATCATTTTTCTTCTTACACTACAGCCATTCAGAATGTACATTATAGACAGTCTTCGTCTCATCAGTCAGTATAGTGTTTTTGAGTTTTTGTTATTTTTTTTTAAATATCTTTTCGCGTGTTATTTTGAAGCGAGCGCATCACAGAGCAACAACTTCTGCATGGGGTCCTTCTGCATCAACCTCGACAAAACCGAGATTGTATCCGAAGCGGGACTCTGCACCGTCATCCCGTGCTCCTTCTCCGCCATTGACTTCACGCCTCAGAGCATCGTGTGGTTCAAGTGCTCCCAAAGCAAAAGCAGATGCGGCGACTCGGAGATCATCTTCCACTCCAAGAACACCGGCAAAATCCTTGACGGTTTCCGGGGCCGAGTTCGGATGCTGCAGTCCGACGTGAGCCTCTGGGACTGCAGCATCATGGTCAACGAACTCACACCCTCGGACTCGGGAGCGTATCAGCTGAGAGTTAATGGCCTGCTGCGGAACACCAATGAAGGATTTACTTTCAAAAAGCGAGTGTTGATCACCGTAACACGTAAGTTGCATGGCCACACTGTGGGAATGTCACATATAAGTAAAGCGTCTTTCAAGCTTTTTGAGATTGGAAGATGTTTGTTTATTTATTGTTACTTGAATTCAACTGCGCCCATCAAATTGTAGCTCTAAAATGTGTTGGTCGCAGTTGAATTGAACCCACAGAAAAAAAAGGTTGTGATTCCATTTTCCATTTTGGACCAAAAAAAAAAAAAACGAAATCAAACTTTTTGTGAAAAGATACATTTTATGCACCGCAGTGACATTTGTGCTCATATTTTTTTTTATTTTACTTTAGTGACTATACTTAAACATCTGAAGATCCATTTTTTAAAATAAAATACCAACTACAACAAAGAAAATGTTACTTTGATGGGAAGATATTGGATTTCAAATCATCACCAGTGTCACAATTTTCCAACAATTTTCCAAACTATTTGCACTCAATTTGTAATAGTAGTAGTATTTAGTCGTGTGTGTATGCATGTATGCCATGCACAAGTGTGTGTGCACATATACTACGTCATTGCTTCTGAATTTAAAGAACCACTGACATCTTTTCTCTGTTTTGTGACACCCTTTGCAGTCGAGATCATGTGACAAACGCTCAATCACAATCTGCTTGTAATGATTGAATTTCCAAAAATCCGCCGCGTACAAGAGCATCTGCATTGTTCTGGTAAACAGTGATCTCTTCCAAAAGAGACCCAATTCGTTCATTTGATATCCTTAGTCAACCTTTTTTATTTTTTACTCTCCCAACAAAACAAAATGTAGGTGAGGAAAATGGCACTTAAACTTCGTGCGTTCTTGTCAGCTCTCAGGCAGAAGCCCACCGTGTGGTCCGAGCCGATGATCGCCGGTCAATCGGCGATGCTCACCTGCGTGCCCCCGGGCCTCTGCTCCGGCTACATCCCCACCATCAGCTGGGCGTGGAAGCAATCGATAGGCAACGACACTCACGCCGTGGTCCCTAACAGGACGGCTTTCCAGTGGGAGACTTTGACACCGTTCTATCGGAGATACAAGTCAACTTTGACCTTCAACGCTACTGCCGAACACCACGGCCGCGACATCACTTGCAAAGTCTTCTACTGGGGAGTCAACGAGACCACGGAGAAAACCGTGACACTGAATGTTACCTGTGAGTAGCATCCACTGACAATTTTGTGGTGTGTGTGTGTGTGTGTGTGTGTGTGTGTGTGTGTGTGTGTGTGTGTGCGCGAATCGCAAGTATGCGGGTGCTGACTTACTCTCTTAAAATATCGACTTTTCCGGCAAGGGATGAAATGATGCCTGTACCTTTTTGTCCCAAGATGCAAAGCCTCCATCCATCTCTGGGCGGACGACAGTGAAAGAAGGCGACACGTTAAATCTTTCGTGCAACGCTGACAGTTTCCCGCCCTCTCGCGTCTTTTGGAACCTTCCCTATTCTAACGGGACCGACCTGCAAAGCGGATCACAGATGAGCCCGACCGGAGCTAGCGCTTCTCTCGACATCCCCAACGTGACGGCGGCCCACTCCGGACGCTACCAGTGTGTAGCGACTAACTATACAGTACACGTGGATGTGACGGTGACATGTAAGTACAGTGAAGCCTTGCTTAAAAGCGGTCACAGAGCACGATATTGTGTGGGTGTTGAAAGATCAATCCAAATGCTGCAAAATGGCCGCCAATATGGGAAACTCAGATTTGAATATATCTGGCGGTGAATGAGTGAAAAAGCTAACAAACTAATTTTTGTTTGATTGTTGCATGGATTTTAGGGTGACATACAAGTGCACTGCAGGTACATTTTTGGGGTGTTGTCATTTAAAAGTATTTGGTGATCATAGTTTGTGACAATTTATGGTTTAAATCAGAGGTCTCCAACCCCCGGGCCACGGGTCATTTGGTACCAGGCCGCACAGAAAGAATAAATAACTTATATTACTTCCCTTTTATTCATTTAGGAATCTGAAAGATGTTTTATTTTGAAAACTACCGGGTTCTCTGTTACATCCGCCACACTCTTGACGCATGTGACGGTGGCGCTTCTCGGTCACGTGATAGGTTACCGCTAAAATGAAACCCAGCAGCTAGTAAAAATGAGTAATAACAAACGTCTTTGGAAAGTTGGTTTGGGAAGCGGAAAAGGCCCAGCCAGGAGACAGAAGAGGAGCTGACGACTTTCAAGAAAAAGAAGCCTACATTTAATAGACAGTGTCAGGAGTCCCACTTAAAATCCGGATTTATCTCAATGGTAGATTCCTACCCACCAAGACCACTCTGCATAATATGCATTTATTTGCGGTGTATCTTATTTTGAACGCACGTTTAAACGTTACCATACGGATTTATCTTATTTTGAAGGCACGTTTAAACGTTACCATAGCAACCAGAGGTTACGACCAGATACAACGTTCCTCGTGTCATAATTCGTGTTTATTATTATGGTTAGAAAATACCTCAGTTTTCATACAGGTCTTATCATATTATTTTGTTGTATTTAAAGGCCGGTCCCTGAAAATATTGTCTTGACATTAAACCGGTCCGTGGGGTAAAAATCGTTGGGGACCGCTGGTTTAAACTCTTAATATGGTAAGTTGGAAACACGTTTAGAGAGGGTTTCATCAACTTGATTTTGCCTCCCTGGCGCCGTATTTTCATGCTAATTGTGCCCTTCTGCAGGGTTTGGGGGAATCCTTAACGGGTCGGGATGTTCGCTCCGGGGGCCGGTGTTGACCTGTGTGTGTATCAGCGGCGGGGGCCTCGCTGTCCCCCGCGGTGTCGGACGACGGCGCCAGCAGCAGCGTCACGCTGATTGTCGACGGCCTCAACGTCTCTGCGATGGAGTGTGTCAGCATGCATCAAGATGGCGACCTTAGGAAAACACTAAACGTTCAACACAAAACATTAGAATGGGAAGGTAGGGATGATTCGAATGTCAATGTTATTGCACAGATGTTAACATCGGTTGTATGTGACTTGTTTTCAGAAAAAATATACAGTACTTATTTCGGAAATATGAGTTGTTACTGGCAAATTGTAACTTCTTCTGAGAAAATTCCAAATGATTCTCTGAAAATTCTGATTCCTGAATTCCAGACTTGACCTTGTAAAACCGCAACTTATGATGGTTTGATAACATTTTTTTAAAAATCGGACTTATACATCCTTTCCTTGTAAATTCTGACTAGCTTTTGTTTGTTACGATTTTTTTTTGTAACATCGTGACTCTTTTGTTATAGCAATACAACTTCCGACTGAAAGTGACCGAAAATGAAAATGTACTTTTGTAACATTGCATCGTAAGACTATTTTTTTGTTCAAATGTGACTTATTCTTTTTTATATTATGGAAAATTGCAACTCTTTTTTTAGAATATTTAAACTTCTGACTCCTTCTCATAAAACAGATTCAGAGCAAGGTATGAAAAAGATGACAACCATGTTTCGCCCCGATGTCTTCATCGCATTTTTGAGCGGCGCGCTACTGTCAGCCATCTTGTGCTGGTTTTCCAGGACTTGCTGCCGGTACACCATCATCTTCTCCCCCCCCCAACACACTTTTGTTAGACACATTATGATATGTGTGTCCATTTTTATATCCAGGAAACCAAAAAAAAGCCCTGGTCGTCTGGATCTGGAGCTGGTGGAACCACAAGATGAAGATGACCCACAAGTATTTTCCTTTTTTTACCATAAGAACTAATGGGGAAAAAACCATATCATTCATACTACATCTTTATTTATAAGGCTCTTTCACAACAGCTGTAACAAAGCGCTTTATAGAACAGTTAACACGAAATCATATACCAGAAAACATCACCTAAGACAGTTTTTTGTGGCCAAAAACGCCGAAAACAGCCCACCCAACACGAAGGAAAACAAAATAGATGATACAGAAAAGACAAAAACAAAACCAAAAAAAAGCAGACGAGCTCCCAACTACAACGCCATCTTGGCATTATCATTAGAATAACTCATTATTATTATGATTATTACATGGTTGATTAGCTCAGCAATCGTACAATTTTTATGACATGATTGATTTGGCGCTTACAATACGTAGCTGTCACTGGAATGACAGTAACAGGGTTGGAAATCCGAATGAATGTTAGTTTCTCTCAGGAGTCGAAGCTGGCTTTTTAGTGGGCTGTTTTTATCGTATTGTTTATTTCTACAGTATTAAAAAAGAGCAGCAGAGTTACATAGCTTGTGACTTTGATTCATAAGGCACGAAAAGGACTCCGCCAGGAAAACTGAAAAATTTGTTTCGTTTTGCTTTGCCGAATTTGGAAGTCAAATCACTCACTTATCACATCATAACATAATACTGAACTTTTTTTTTTTCAAGACAGTCAGGAAGGAAGAAAGCAACGACGCGTATATCAGTGAGCCAGTCGGTGGCTAAATAGTGGCTAGCGTTGCCTGCTAGCATTTGCTTGGAGTGATTAGCACCTCATGCTAATTGCTAATTCTTTAACTGCTTAAGACACACTCTGCTTTTGAAGAGCGTAACAATATTTATCAGCTAACCAGTCAGCGGCTATGTAGCTAGCTGCTAATTAGCGCTAATTTAGAGGTTGACGTTTTCTCTTGTCAGGACTCTGGCCACAAAGTTGTCAGCGAGGAGGCGACTAAAGCGGACGTGGAGTACGCCAGCATCAACTTCTCCGCGTTGAGGAGAAACAACACCAGAGAGGTTACAACCACTCACCAGGCCACCGAGTATGCTCAGATCAAAACAAAGGGAAATGGCAACGAATCGCTAGAGCATAATGACGATAAAGAAAAGGATGAAACGACGGCGGAGAACAGGACACAGTGCAACAATGAGAACGAAGAGAAGGAAGAGGAAGCCTTGTATTCAAACGTGAAAGACGCTATGATGTCATGAACGGCCCCCCTTTGCTTTAAATTCAGATGTTTTCAGTTGCGGTACAAAAGCTGCAAAAGAAATCACTCACAGGCATTTCAAGATGTTTTTTTTTTTTTTATTGGCAGTGTTGATATGCATTGGAGGCAATGGTGAGACAATAGTGACAATGTACACTTTAAACATATTTCGAAGCATTTTAGACTTGCATTGTGTGAAATTATTACACAAAATAGTATTTCAGGGTAGGTGGTATTGCGATAGATAGATGGAGGTTTTCTGGATATATATGTGTGCGTGTGTGTAATTATTATATATTATAATTTTTCACGTTTTAAAATGTGTACTTACATTATGAATATTTGTCCCTGCAATGTTTTTTTTTTTTAAATAAACAATATGGTGGTTGAAAAAATATGATCAAAATATAATGATTTATAAATAGTGACACTATCTTCAATGTAGTTGAACCTATTTTTGGAGAATTGTTGAACACAACCTGAACATAAAATGTTTTATTTATATTCCAACATTATGCTGCTCTAAAAAAAAAACGGATTAAAATAAAATGATTGAATCGTGACTATCTTCAAAATATGTGAAGCATTTCACTTGATTTCAAATCAATAATTCTGTAACAAGGCAAACAAACTATTTTTTTTGTCAAGTCAAGTACACCTTTATTGTCAGTCAACTCAGTGTTTCTCACCGCTCTGATAAGATTGCGTGGGTGTACCTAATGGATTGTCCACTGAGCATCCCAACATGAGTCCATGCTGCTCCATTCCGGTTCAACGTATTAAAATGACCAAATCCTACCGGAAAAAAACACGCATGCCCGTCTTCTTCCCTCCTGACACGTTCACAACAGTGTGTGTACGTACGTGCTTGACTAGATTAAGCTTTATTGGATTACAAAGCTCCCTTAGTTGGACAGACACTTGGAATAGAGTCCACATAAATGCTGCTACACAGTTGACAGCTCCAGTGTGACGGTAAGGAATCTCCTGTTTTTTTTGTTTTTTTTTTTAATCCAACTACTGTATTTATAGGAATTGTGACTGTACTATTGTGTCAGCGTGTGTCTTGAAAATATGTTAAACAGATTTTCAAAAGCATTTTTTTTTCAAACAAAACAATTTGTGTATCGGTCTTGACTGATGCGGGTTTGAAAGCGGGTGGTCGACTTTGTGATCAAAGGAAAAGGGTGACAACAAATGGAGAACCACTGAATGATATGAAATTATATCCACGGGCATTTAATGACGTGAAAATCTTAAGTCGCAAGATGAAACTACACTGTGGAGCTTTGTCGTTAATCATTTTGTGGATAATTCATATTTTTGAATACAGTCAGAGTACAAATAAAATCAGCGTATTCAAATATTTGCAGGGCGTGTGGACAAACCACAAACGCACAAGTGCGCACACATACCGGTACCTGCGCACCTGCATCACACCCACGTAATAACAATCACATACACGTATACACGTAAAGATGCATGTACATAATTAAAAACACAGTAGCTCACACGCACCCTCACACCCCCACACACAGACATGCACACAAATGAAGTAATCTTCATTCCACTTGAGTTTTGATCACTCCGACATGACTACAACACAATCTCTTGATGTGCTTCCGGATTTCCGTCATCTTCAAGCCATAAATGATCGGATTGAGCAGGGGATTGTACACCAATGTTTGCAGAGTCAGAATCAGGCGCACGTTTTTCGGAAGCACCGACTCCAGTAGCCCGATGATGATGTCAAAGGTCATCAAAGAGAAGGTGGCCAATAAAACAATCAGGTGCGGTAAACACGTATCGACCGCTTTTTTCCAGACTTCTCCCTGGCTATGATAAGCGACCATGAATATCTTAAAATACGTGAAGAAAATGAACAGCACGGGGATGACAGCCATAACGGATAGGGTAAATAAAGTCCACATAGCGAGAAACTTTGGTAATGTACAGTGAATATTCATCATTGTCGCATTGCAAATAATTCCAGTCAATGTCACGCTGCAGATTTTTTGTTTGGACTGAACGACAACCGTCACCGACATCAGACAGACAGGCACAAACCAGGCCGACGCCAAACAAATGCTGACACAGGTTGTGCCCATGGTAGATGCGTATTGAAGAGGCCTGCAGATGGACACGTACCTGTCGTAAGCCATAGCGAGCAGCAACAAAATGTCAGAACTACCTAAACTGTAGAAGAAAAAAACCTGGACCAAACAACCGGAATAAGAAACACTCTGCTGGTTAGACAAGACGGCCACGACGAGTTTGGGGTAGATCGCAGTGCTGAAAAAAAGCGAGTTGAGCGACAAAGCTGCAATGAAAATGTACATGGGCTCGTGAAGGTTTCTGTGGATCCAGATGAGACAAATAATGATGCAATTAGAGCAGAGAATGAGAACATACAGTGCCAAAAAGAACATCACGTAAACGTATCTGTACTTGTCCACATCTACAAAGCCATCGAGAATCAGCATCAGCGTTCCGTTCCGTTCCATCGTGACAAGCACACGCGACAAAATAATGACGCAAGGTCAATAAATCTTATACTTCCTAGTCCAAGCGTCCACCTCGTCGCTGATGGAAGTGCTGCTGAGCGGCGGCTGCAGACACAGAAGTAAGAAGGCATCCAGCTGATGATCGGGATGACGACAACCTGCGATTGGTCATCCTGTTGAGGAGGCGTTTTGCTCCTTCCCTCTTTGGCCGAAATGTCTCACAAGGCTCAATAACACTTTGAGCTTATTGTTGTGGCCCTGAACTGCAGTATTGTTCTTTGGGATTTGAAAAAGAAAAAAAAAAAAAAAGACATACAGTGACATAACTTCAAAAAGCACGAGCGAGAGACCTGAAACCAGGGGGTGTCTAAACTTTTTCGTTTGACGGCCTGTATTCATCATCAAACAAATAATAAATCTTTCTCCAAGACCAAAAAAAAAAAAAACGGTTTTTAAATGAAGTGAATCTTTTATTATTAAGGGAGAACAAAAAAAATAAATCCAACCCGACATGGTGCTGTGTGAAAAACTGATAACCTTCTAAACCGAATAACAGGTTGGGCGACGCTCAGCAGCAACGATTGAAATCAAGTGTTTTCGATTGCTGTCAACGAGTCTTTGCTATCTCTGTGGAGATATTTTGGCCCACTCTTCATTCCAGATTTACATTAATTCAGTAACACCGAGGTTTGTCAGCATGAACAGCCTTTTAAATGTTAAGTTGAATTCAGTAACACTGTCAGGTTTGTCAGCATGAACAGCCTTTTAAATGTTAAGCTACAGCATTTCAACGAGATTCAAGTCTGGACTTCAACTACGCCGACGCCACCGTAAAACCTTCATTTAGTTTAGTTTGGGGAGGGGGGGGTTGTTTTTTGTAAGGCATTCAGAAGTTGACTCGTTTTGCAATTCAGTTTGAGGTCACAAACTGATAGTCAAACATCCTGTCTCATAATTTTTTGATGAAGGGCAATTCTCATGGTTCGATCCATCACAGCAAGTCGTCCAGGCCCTGAAGAGATGAAGCAGCCCCAGACCATCACACTTCCACCACCATGTTTGACTCTGGGTATGACGTTCAGGATGTCATTTTTGCTCAGTGTCTTCCTCATCGTTAAGTCATGAACACTGACCTAATCTGTCGGGAGGAATGCCAGAAGTTCTTCAGCTGTTGTCTTGGATTCCTTTGTGACATCTTCAATGGGTCGTTGCTGTGTTGTTGGGTTTGCGGCTCCTGGGAAGGTTCACCACTGTTCTAAAATTCAACAATTTGTGGATTATAGCTGTCACTGTGATTTGCTTGAGTCCTACAGCTTTAGGAATGACTTTTAACCGTTTCCAGACTGATGGGTATCAATTATTTTATTTCTCGTCTGTTCTTGAACTTCTTTGGATCTTGGCATCTTGTTGCAGTTTTTTTGAGATCTTTTGGCTGATTTCATTTTGTCAGACTGGTTCTATTTGGGCGAGTTCTTGATTGAACAGGTCCGAAGGTAATCGGGCTCGGATGTGCTTGGCGAAAATGAACCGAAAAATAAATTCATAGTTGAAGAAGTGGGGCAAGTAGTTTTTTTACACTGGGTCAGTTAGCTTTGAATGTTTTTTTTTTGGTTCCCTTAAAAAAATCAAATCACTATCTAAAAACAGTTTTTCAGCCAGCAAGCGTGCGCGCGCGCACACACACACACAAATCAGTCAAGCCACCTTTAAGCCCCAGGAGAGAAGAAAATCTGGCCCAGTGCCTGATACTATCTGTTTGTTTGTAACAAATGCAAAAACAAGCTCGGCCTGAGGGAATAACTAATGATGACCCAATGATCAGTTGTTGCCTTGTTTGTCAGACCCATCTCTCCCAAGAGACAACAGCGCTTTGACCGCAGACTCATCACTAGCATTCCCCCGAGGCCGACTTTGTTTTTCCACCATCACTCGCTGTCCATCAGCATCAAATCTCGCACCGCTAGCATCCTACGGGATCATTCGAATACCTCAGCTAAGCTAAGAAAACATCACTGTGACCCCACAGGGTCGTCATTAACTCATCCCCCACTGGCCCAGCTTGTTATTCATCTGTCCTTTTTGGACTTTAACCATACATGAAGTCAACGTTTCTGGTCAAGAGCGTTTACAGTAAATACGAGTATTACAGCACATGCTAGTATTGCAATGTATGCTGGACATAATATGTAGTAGAGTTTCGATAAAAGAGAACAGGCACATGTCAGGTTTGCAACCCTAAAATAAGAGACACAACCACCATGAGATGTTGCTTCACCTGGCACTATGAAACCTGAAGACACAGGTAAGCTAACCTCCCAGTTTAGCTCAAGCTAGCTGGTCGAACGTGAACTGAGCTCACGCGGTTGATGAAAACGACAACATGATGGACAAGACGGAGACTTCATATCCGAATAGGTTCCCTTTATGAGTAAGGGCTACTGCGGGCATTTTGTTTGTGCTGTTAATCTTTATGCTAATCGGTGCGACGTGACCAAGCTTTTTCCTCCCCCGCAGCGATGGCGGATGTTCTCAAAGGCGTGAACCTGCTGGAGACCCTCAAAAATTCCATGGAGCGCAACCGGTTGTCCGAGGTCAAAGACGCGGTCGAAGACCTCCTCATCAGCAGCCTCAACTTGGCTGTCGTGGGCGAGCGTTCGGAGGAGAAGATGGCATTCATTAACTCCCTTCACGGGGTGTCAGCCGCTGACGAAGGGGCCGCCTGCTCGTCGTCGGTCCCCACCGAGGACTTGAGTTGCTATCCTAATCCCGTGCACCCCGACTTTCGCCTTTGGGACCTCCCGCCGGTCCCCATCGGGCTTCCATTTGAGCCTGACGTTTACATGAATGCCGTCAAGTTCCTCCGCTACAACGTGGTCTTCCTGATGGTCACGCAGACGCCGCCTCCGAGTGTGGTGGCATTGGTCCTGCGGGCCCGTTTGCTGCAGCTCCAGACGGTCTACCTGATCCTCTTGGTTTCTGACAAAGACCAAAATCCGGATTCGAAGAGGAGAGCCAGCGTGGACGCTCTGAGGTCCCACGGTGTCACGCAGTCCAAAGTCTACCTGGTCAGCCCATCCGCCCTGGAGACTCTGGACTTCCCTGCCCTGCTTGAAGACTTGGCCAAAGACCTCCCGGAGATCAGGTGGAAGAGATAGGGACTCAAATCATTGCGACGTGGACTGTGTTAGGATGACTTGTGACTTCACGTGACAAAAACTCGGAAGACATGAGACGTGACTTGGACTTTGGAGGAAAGGCCCGCCACACACCGAGCGATGCGACTGAACGTGACCTAACCAAGGTTATAGTATGTTAGAAATTTGCATTATAGTTACTTTTTTTCCTATTATTTATTATTTCTCAAATCTCAATTCTCATTTTTAAAAAGCGCTGCTTTTCATTTTGTTTCCAATTTTCGTCTTAGTCATTTTGTTCATTTTTGTGATAATAACCTTGGAACTAACACGTAACTGAAAACCAAATTCCTGTTGATTCGCTCCAATGGGAAAAACTGCAACCCAAGGAGCTTTGATCGGAAAACAATTTCTCGTGGCAGCCCATATATGATATTGAACCACAATCAACATTGCGCGATTGTCAAAGTAACTAACGCGAAAAATAATGTGATTCAAAACATTTGTTGAATCTGGAATGTTGCAATGGCATTCACCTCCGATTCAAATCTGGAATTTGGAATGGCAGCAGCACTCACAGCAGAAGATTGGCCAATCATAAAATCGAGCCCCCTTACATGGCGCGACCGTGGTGTTCGGCCACATCACTCGTCGCGCACCACGCTAAAGACTTACTTAAGACTTGCACACGAGTGACTTCTTCCCATCTGTGTCAGGTGGTGCGCTCTCCTGATGGCTCTCCCCACACTGACCGCCGCCCTGGTGATCCAAAAGAAGGAGGCATTTGGAGCCCTGGTTTGGGCGGCGGCGTCTTTGTCCGGCGGTGTTTCGGCTGTGCCGGTCCCCTTTGTGGCCTCGGCGGTGGACTCAAGCATGGCCGTGCGAGTCCTCTGCAAAGTACAGGCGTCCCTCTGTCTGGACGACGCGTCCGTGGAGCGTCTGGCCCGGCGGCGAGGCCTGGAACCGGCGCGTCTCAAAGCCCTGCGGGCGTGCCCGCTCTCGACCGAGGTCACCAAGGCGGAGGTAAAGAGGCGACTGGCGCTGGCAGAGAAGGACTGCTCGACGTTGTCCTCCAGGCTAGTGCAGATGGCCGTGCCCAGACACGCCCGCTCGGCCGGACGCTCCTTCGCCGCCATGCTGAACGCGTTGAAGACCGCCATTGATGACATGGCCGCAGACGCCGAGAAGATTTTGGCCTCTGCCTTCGCGGAGACAAGCCAAAACGCTTGAGGCTGTCTCTGAAGAATTCAGGTTAAGTTGCTCTAGATATTTTCAAAATAATAGCCTATTAAAATATCATACCAGGTTTTTGCTCCTGATCCTTAGCCTCGAAACGGCGGACACTTCAGGTCTGAAGACGTTACCTTCATTTTCACATGTGATTGTCAGCTGTCATCTGTGAGGCTTCGGCTGTGTTTGTTTTGAATATAGTCGAGAGTCAGAATCAGGATCAGCTTTATTGTCCAACTATGTGCAAGCACACCAGGAATTTGTCTTAACAGTCACAACCTGTCCAAAGACAAAAAGTAACAAAGACCAACAGAGGGAGACAGAATGGGAAGCCAGCGGTTCGTTACTCAGTGCCCTGAGTTTCTTCAATGGAAAAAAGGAAAACATGAGCAAAGAGGGGAAAAAAAAAATCCAGGCCAAAGCTGTGTTTATGTTCAGGAGGTGGGGGTGGGGGGCACAGTGTGGGCCTGGAAAAAAATCATGCTGTTGTGGGTTATGAATGCGACCATGCACATACATGCCAGTATCACCCAGAAGTACCATCAAGGTAAGTTTGGATGAACTTTAGAACTGTTTAAAGCTCTTTTTTGGAACAATAATTTTATTTTGTAGAGTTTTACTTCGATGTAACACAATCGGCTCTAACGTACGAGCCATTCCCGTAAAATCCAGGTTCCGGTCTATATTGAGTTTACAGCAATGAATTACAGAAAAAAATATTGTAGTGCGTAAACAAAACAATCCCGGTTTTTCCAAACAGACACATTTCTCATCTCCCAATAGACATAAAATAATCATGCCCGAAGATGTACATTATAAAATGAACATACAGCTGTCACGTTCGTATAGTGTTAAAAAAAAACAGGATTATTTCGTATTTGTTTCAAGCTAAGTGTGCCGCCATCTAGAGGTTGATATTGGAATTACACCCATTTTAAAATGTGAATTTGACCAAAGTTTATTTTCGAAAAATGGATTGATCTTACTGTAAACACGCAGGGATCGGGACACTGTTAATATTTAAAATGGAATTGGTTTAAAATGTACAAAATTTATGTTTGCCATCTCTCTTGGTCTAAATAGGGTTCTCAAAATGTATTATTTTAAAGTGTTTTTAATAGGCTCCAGAACCCCCCCCCCCGCATCACGGGTTCAGAGTTTTCTTTGCCGCTATTAAAATGTTTTTTTTTCCTTGAACAATTTAGGTTAAACACATGTCTAGTTTGGGTGTACAGTAAAAACACTGACCACTAGATGGCGGTATACGTTTTTTTTGGGGGGGGGCAGTCAATTTTAAAGAATAGAGAGCAGGAATTTAAGATAAGATAAGATAAGAAAACCTTTATTAGTCTCGCATTATAATCACAGTCTCGAGAATTTCCTTTAAATTATTGAATGTCATCCAATGAAATCCTGCATTTTACACCTACCGAAAGTGACGGCTTTAGTTTCATTTTATAATGTTCATCTTTGGGCATGATTTTTGATGTACAATGTAATATAATAATTTGTTTGAAAAGGAAAAAAAACAAACAAGATTTTATAAGCACGGCCTAGTTTTTCTTGCAAATTATTGAACGCCATTTTCTAAAATCCTGCTTTTTACACCTACAGAAAGCAACGGCTGTGGTTTCATCTTATAATATACATTTTTGGCCGTGATTATTGATGTACGTTTTTGTGTTTTTGTGTTCTTCCTCTCAATACATTGTATATGTTTGTAATATTTTAAAGTGTGTTTAAAGACCTTGAAAAAAATGAAGTACTGCAAATGCTGTGAAAAAAAAAAAAAAAAAAAAAAGCATGCCTATGTAGTATTTAAATAAGATATTTTGCCAAGTGCATTGCGGATTTCACTCATCGCTGGGTGACCTGGAACATAACCACCGCAATATTTCAGTAATTTTTGTGTGTTGAGAACCACTGATGGCTTTCACTCCATCGAAGCTGCGACCTCTTCGCTTGCCACTTCCTGTCCAGAAGGAGTGTCCGCCACCATTTTCTCCTCCTCCGGTTCTGGATCCGGTACTGGATCCGGTTCCGGATCCGGTTCAGTATCCGCTCGCGGCTCCTCGCCTTTGTCGCCTCCGACAGGACGCAGTCGTATCTCCGCATACTCACTCGTGACGGAGGAGAGCCCTCGTATCTCGGCGCGGTCGCGCGCCTGCAATTGGATCACGCTGACGTGGGCGTAGTGCAGCTGCTCGTCGTCTGGCGCCGCATCCTTGGTCAAGTCCTTGTCATTTGCGTAAATCGCGTTGCCGTCAGAAGTGTGGGTCTGAAAACACACAATGATGCATTCAGAAGTGAAGGCATCGATTTTGCGGGCATTTAGGGATGGGGCATTGAGTGGGAATTCACGCTACAATGGTGGCATTGTTTTATTAATCAATTTTATATTCTTGACAGTTTTTTTTTTGGGGGGGGGGTTAATGAATTTCTTTTGTCATCGAGTATTTTTAATTCGTGATTTTAATGGCATCAAGCGTATATACCTCCCATCTCCAAAACAAAAATACAACCAAAAAAAAATAAAAATCATGTTTGTTGAGCCATTCACATTGCATCACCAAAGCGCATAAGGCATTTTCCACGCTTTAGATCAGTCCATTTGTAAAACTAACCTACCCACATTGGCACGAACCAAAAGTAACGATTTGTGAGAAAAAAAAAAAAATTGACCAAATTTGGACACAGGAGGTTTCTTCCCAACGTGAGGATATTTTAGAACTTGTCTTTGGTGATGAGATTTTTTTTCATTATATATATATATATATATATAAAAACTCTATAAATATTTTCTAATTGACTAGTTTGTCCCAAGAGTTGATTAATTTTGCACCCAAAAATTGTCAGGATAAATTGTGTAACCTAAATTATGGGTCCAACTTAAATACATTGACCTGTATTTGGCAGATGGTCATTCATTGTGACTTTCTTTAAGTTAAATCTGGACTCTGAACTCACCTCATTGGTGACCAAAAAGTCTGTGGCATTGTCTGCTTGTCTGTCATTAGAGGGAAAGGTACCTTTGGTTTTCCTGGTGGACAAACACACAAAAAAAAAAAAAAAAAACTTATTTTGGAAAATGTTTGTCTCGAGGCCATTTGTTTTCTGTTGTAACGAGGCTTATTGCCAATTACTGCCACACAGCATTTTTAAAATATTATATACATTTGTTCATGAATTGAACAGCAAACATTTTTAAATCATTGTATATGTTTGTAACGTTATCATTTCTCAACTTGTGTTTTATACACGTTCTAATAATTGTTTTCAAATACATTTGACCTTATTGAGTGACCTGTGTGCTCACCTGCAAATGTACAAGAGCAGCAGGAGACTCAAGATAAGCATGGTCACCACTCCCACAGCAGATCCAACCAGAACCGTCACATCTAAAAAGCCCAAACATGAGTGATGCCTGCAGATCATAGCAACCTTAATCAAATGTGAACAAAAGAGACCTGTCCGAGCAGCAGGGGAGGACATGTTGAAGGCAAGAGTGTCAAATCCAAACGGGTTGAAGCTGATGCAAACCAACGAGGACACAAATTCTTCACCGTCCAGGCGTTGCATGATGATGACGCTCCTCCGGGTGGCGCTGTCAAGGCCCTCCTCTGTGATGGGGCTCTTGTCCGAGTGATTGACAAGCACCCCAGACAATTCCCATTGGAGGGAGGGAAGCGGGTTGGCCTGGCTGTCGCAGGTACATCGTGTTTGGGCTGACACATCTTGGCAGTGGGAGGATGTCAGGATCTCTGGGGCAACTGAAGACAGTAAATGGCAGATTTTTATTTATTTTATTTTTTCTGGAATGGCTCCTTTCAGACTTTTTTGTGGTACTATTTATGACAGACATGCCATCCAAATTTCATGTTGCTGAGTGAAACATGCTTGAGTTATTGAATTTCCCCACAAAAAATTGCCAGGGGTGCTACCATGGTCTTTTCAGGCATAGCTCCTGGTGATTTTTTTTTTTTTTTTTTTGGTGGGTCTACTCATCATAGACGTGATTGCCGAATTTTCATGTTGCTATGTGAACCTAGCTTTGGGGACTGAATAACAATTCAAAGGATGCGACAGAGACCGCTGCAAACCAAAATGGAAGACTTCCTGTTGTTTTTCCAGCAGGGTTGCTTGAGGTTTTTTTTTGTTGGTCTACTCATAACAGAGATGCCTACCAAATTTCATGTTACTAAGTGAAGCGTTTTTTGTGGCTCAAATTTCCCTCAAAGTTGTATTTTTTGTGTTTTATCGCTAGTCAACTTTGAGGCTATGCTGCACCAACACAGTATGAATAAAACCGAAAATGTTTGGCAATTTGGTGTCGCCAACATGTTTAGTATATCGTCAGTGCTCATAACTGCCTAACTCCTCTTTTGTCTCGACATTTTCACAACATGCGCATTGGACGATGGAGAGTCACTTCCTGCACAAATCTGACTTGAGCAAAAAATTGAGTTAAGAAGTTACGTTATTAGCATGACGATATGTTGTACAAATTTGTTAGCAATCAGACATCATCTCCACAATGAGTTGGTCTTCCAAGGACCCATGGGAAAGGTCAAAAGTGACCCGAAAAGGCACAATTTTTCAGGCATGGCTTCTTGCAATTTTTTTTTTCAATCTGTCCATGACAGACACGGCTACCAAATTTCAAGTCGCTAAAGGTAATGAGATGCTCACATGTGACATCGATGGCAATCGGCTGCGCCGACTGTCCCCCGTGAACGTTGCGATTTTCACAATAAAATGTGTCCCGTGACAGCTTTGTGACGTTGAATGTAATTTCTTGTCCTGAGCCCATCGGCGTCTTCTCCCCGGCGTTCACTCGATACCAGGTGATGTTGATGGCCGGCGGGTTTGCCACACTGGTGCACCTTAAAGTCACGGTGCTGCCCTCAGGTAAAGAACCAGGTGGCGACATGGACACTGTTGTGTTCTTCGGAGGATCTGAAAAGCAACAGTGGGCCTGTTAGCATTGTGTGCAAAGTACATTTAAGGGGTGTGGCCAAGTGAGTAATGTCGAGCTGCGTCAGGTTGGCCAGTTAGTCTAGATTTGAGTTTTGAGTGTCCTCAAGCATTGCTTTATTATATTTGACTTTATTCTAGCAGCGGCATTTATGATGTTTGCAAGGCCTGCAAACACAAATCAAAAAATACATAAAAACAGATCAAGCGAACTCCAAATTAAGATGAGATGCTTGTATAGATGGATATATGGCATAACCTCATTCTGCTCATTTAATGATGCTAGTAGGTACAATTTAGCATAGTTTTTTTTTGGGGGGGGGGTCGGTGATGGTTTTTTTTCAAAAGCTTGAAATAGACGAATTCATGAAATTTGTATTCTTTATGTGTTTATTATTATATCGATAAAACAAAATTTGTATTTTTAATTTAACTTTTTTCTTGCAATTTTTTGCAAATGTTTTAAAATAATTATTTTTTTCAATTGATTTTTTTTCCTCTTACAATTTTTTCATCCGTTTAGATGTTTTACTTAAATTACTATGTTGTGGCGCGAATCATATTATACTTATTTTTCAAATTTAACAGAAAAAAATTGGATTATTCTACATTGTTTCCATTTTCTATATATTATCAAATGCTAATATATAATATATATAAATATATATTCACTGTGAAATATTTTGTGTTTATTATTATTAATTTAAGTCCATACATTTGTATTCATTTCTTCTTTGATGACTAATAAAAAAGTAAAACCGAACTAAATTGAAAGTAATTTTTTTTAAGCTTTGGCACTGAAATAGTCTTTCAGCAGCTGTCTGGAGCAAACTGAGGCAACACTTTTTTTTTTTTTTCTCCTTCAGATGGAAATGACACATTTGTACAACCTTGCACGCATATGAAACAAAACAGTCTTTGCACACAAAGAACTGTGTGCACCTTGTCACGCATGTGAACAGTAGGCCAGTGTGCCCGCTGCAGACACATGCTTGTCATGCACCATTCAGCAACTGACACAGTGGTCGCTCATTCGTGACGTCCAACAGACTTACATTGAACATCCAGATGAACGACTGGAGACGCTTGCTCTCCCACCGCGTTCTTGGCCATGCAGCGGTACTCGCCAGTGTGTCTGGGCTGGGCGGCGTCGAGGGTCAGGAGGTCCCCGATCTCCAGATACTCTCCGCCGTTTATGGACCAGCTGTAGTTGTGCACGGGCGGGTTGGCTTGGCTCTGGCACAGCAGGATTACTGGGGTGCCCTCCAGGATCACGCCGGGGGGCTCGACAATCACCGTGGTGTCCTTGGGAGGGACTGTTAACGCAGCAAAAACACTTCTGATGATGATTTCTACCACTATGGAGTTTTCAAAAACATCATCCGGTTGTAATAGTGTTGCATGTCAGCATAATGACCGTTAGCATGTTAACGTTTGAGCTGATGTCCTTTAAAATGGTACCTAACCACAGGGCAGAGTGTTAAATCCTGTTACCGATGTGCCTTAGAGCAGGGGTCCCCAACCTTTTTTGCCCCACGGACCGGTTTATGTCAGACAATATTTTCAGGGACCGGCAATTAAGGTGTGGCGGAAATAATACAACAAAATAATATGGTATGAGCTGCATGAAAACTGTGGTGTTTTCGAAATATAATAATAAACACAAGGAGCGTCTAATCTGGCCGCAACACTCTGATCGCTATGGTCATGTTTAATGCCTTCAAAATACGATGCAATGCAAATTCAAAGTGCATGAAAATGACGACTCACCACAGCCCCGAGCTTGATTTTCTGCAACCAGACGGTCCCATCTCGGAGTAATAGGAGAGAGACAATGACACCTCAAGTGTGTGTTTTGCGTCAAGTCTACTTCGTAATTTTGTTTTAGTCGCCGTTGCTGCAGAAAACCCCCGCCTCACACAGGTAGCATGTCGGAAATAGCAACAGT